GAGGAGGGGAGGAGGGGAGGAGGGGAGGGAGGGGAGGAGGGGAGGCGCAGCTTCCATTGCGGCCAGGCTGGCCGGCTCACCAGGCACACTCGAGGGGCCCCTGAGGCCCTGCGCGTCACGTGGTCCCCGACCTCCCTGGTCCCACACAGCCCGCCCAATGCCAGAGCCCGCGGCCCCGACAGCCGCTGTCCGCCACGCTCCGCCTCAACTCACTTTTCGGTCATTCAGCTGGACATTGTCCCCTTCATAGTCCCCCTGTAAGAGAGAGGAGGGAGTCTCACCACGCAGCACAGGCTGAGGTCACACTTGCCAAATTTCAAAACAGAAACTCCTGCGACCCTCGCTGACACCCATCGAGGGCGTCCTGGGCGGTGTCCCTCTGCGGGAAGGAGTGCAGCCGGCCAGCCTCCACCACCGGGACCCCGCGAGCCTCCCCGAGGGCAGCACTAGACCCATGTCCCTGCCTTGGACCTGGCAGCACAAGAGAACAGGGGCTCTGGGGACAGAGAATGGCATCAACAGGTGAATGTGTCCTGCCTGCTGGAAGACCCCCCTTCCTCTCCCGCAACCCCAGGGGGACAAGTGACATGTGCCCCGTCACTTAGACCAGGGAGCCCAGCACACCCATTTCACAGAGGGAAACACGGAGGCTCCCAGAGGTAACCCGCCGTCCCTGAGAGCCATCAGGGGTCACCTGGGACTCACATCCAGGCCTCCAATTCCGAGGAAGAGAAGGTCTAGAAGTCGAGAGTGAGCCCCAAGGTCAACGGCTGAGCCCCAAGGTCAGTGGCTGATACAGTAGCTAAGGGGAGCAAGAGGGAGGCCCTGGGCGGCCGGGGGTGCGGCCAGCCTCCTGTCCCTCCCTTACCAGCCACTGTCGCGACCTCTGCCACCCCTGGCCAGGTGGGAAGACGAGGTCATGTGCCCAGGCAAGCAGCCCAGCTCGGGGGTCCTTAAGTGAAACAGAGAGGGTGCGCCAGGCCCCCTGGCCCCGCACTCCGCCCCTCCTGGCCACTCCTCCCTGGGCGTTTCCCGGCCTCCTCTCCATGAATGAGCCGGCCACGGGGTTCCAGGAGAGCCTCGTGTTCACCAGGGGCCCGGGCTGTGACCTCCAGGCAGGCAGCTGCCAACCAGGAAGGAAGCCAAAGCCACCAAGCAGCCAACGTAAATGTCAGCGTCCCTGGGTCCAGTGACACACTCGGTTGCAGGAGACTTCCCCAGGGTCTCTGGACCCCGTGACTGTCACTCAACGCCAGCCCTGCACCTGGCTGAACTGCCTGGGAACAGCCCAGCCCCTGCGGGAGAGTCCACGGAGCGGGTGGATGAATGGGCCCACACAGGGAGCCCGGCAGAGCGGGTGAGGACACTGTGGGCAGGCCCAGGGGCAGCGAGCCAGCCCCCATGTGGGACAACTTCCTGGGGAGGCAGAAGGATCTAGAAACCACAAGCCAGGCCCGAGCCTGCTTCCCTTCCTGACGCCAGTCTGAGCACCCCGTCCATGCTCTGCCTAAGGGCGGGGGTCTACGTGGCTCAGGGCAGGACAAGTGGCCTCCCTAGAGGAGGCCAGCACTGGAGCTGACGGGTGGGTGCCTCCAGTCGTAGGGAACGTTCCTTATTCCCTAAGGACACTGGGAGCTTCCTGGCTGTGGGCCCCTGGCAGGTTCCTGGGTGTGGCAAGCCTCAGTTTCCCTGTCTGCAGAGTGGGGTCAGACCCCACCAATGGTGCCCTATGTCTGGGTGTGATGTGACAGTGACTGCAAGCAGGGGCTCTTTGTCCCCGTGTGGGCTTGGAGGTGCTGAGGGCTGGCATCTGTCAATAGGCCTGGTGGCCTAAGCCTTGTGCAGTTCTTGAAGACTGCAGGTGGGATCCGTCCCCAGGGCAAACGCAGGACTGAAGACCAGAGAGATGGGCCACTTAGGCTCCAGCAAAGGAAGAGGGCATGGTACTTCCATGGGACACAGTAGCAAAGGCTTATGTCCCCATGTCACCCAGAGCAGCTGTGTGGCCTCGAGCAAATTGCTAGACCTCACTGAGTCTGTCCGCAACAGATTAAAGGAGATAAAGTCCCTACTACCCACAGTAGTTCTCAGAAATGTCGATCTCTCCCCTTTCCTTCTTAAAGACTTGGGGTTTATGCAAAGCAGGCAGGAGGCCTGGGCATTCGGCTCCCGTGTCCCGGCTTCTGGCCAGGGCTGACCAGCTGAAGGGCCGAGGGGCTGGCCTGGCAGGGCTGCATCCCATGGGCCAGCTGGACCCTGCAGAATGGGGCTGACCAGTTGAACAGGACCTCACCCGGGTCCGTGAGGTCTGAGCCCTGCCCTCAGAACCTCTGGAGAGCACCGGGCCTTCACCAAGGCAGCCCGACTCAGCCAATCCAAAGCCACACCACGTTTACTGAGCACTTACTAAGTGCTGTGTGCTGAGGCTTCCTGAGTCAGGAACACAACAAAGTGGCCAGGCCATGGTGTCTTTGTGGGACAAGGGGCATCAGAAGTCCAGGGGGAGGAAGAAATCAGCCGTGCCAGGAAAAAAGAAAGGGGAGGCTTGGTGTGGACCCTCTGTCTGCCGTGGAGGGGAGCAGGCAAAGGCGTGGCATGTAGGCAGAACAGCATGTGCAAAGGCATAAGGTGGGGAGCTGGGTCAGGGGCCCCACGTCCTGGCCTGCAGTGCAGAGCAGGGCCTGGGGGCAGGGGGGCATGGGCAGCAGGTCAGCCGAGTGTCTCTCCTGCCCTGACCCACCCGCTGGGCATGCTGTCCTGCACTATTCTGGCACCTGTGGGGGTCCCAGCCGGTGTCTCATCCTCAAAGCCCTCTTGTACCTGTCTCTGTTCTGATGCCCACTGTGCCCTGGCCACCAGACCTCAAGGCTCCTGGACACCTCGGGGCTGACCTCACTCAAGGCCAGTGAGAGTGAGTGGCCAGGACGGGGATCCGGCCTCCTGACTCCCAGGCCCATCCTCCTTCCTCCTGCTTCTGGGCTCTGGGCCTCACCCTGGGAACGTTCAGAGATCCTCTGCCTGGGGTTCCCACACTGCTCAGGCCTCGCGGCCTGATCCCAGCGCCCTGTTGAACTCCAGTCCCCGTTTCCATAGAGACAACAAGACGACGACCATCTCTCTCCACCCCAAGCCACGGTCACGGGCTATATTTATCGGGGGATACCAGTGGGATTTGGAGATTCGGCCCAGGAAGCCGGCCACCTCCTCTGCAGAAATAGATACAGAGCTCTGGTCACCGCGGGAGCCCTGGCAGGGGCGGGTGGGGGCCGGAGCCAGGGAAGACGTTCTGCGGGCCGACTGGCTGCAAGGAGCAGGTACAGCCCGCACAGCCTGGGCCACGATGCCCTCCGGGGGGACTGTTCTGCCAGAGGAGATGCCCAGTGTGTGACTGCTGGCCCCAAGGGGAACAGGGCAGGCCTGTGTGCAGCTGACATTTATGGAGGGAGCCAAGCAGGAAGCCGTGACCACAGGATAATTGGCGCTCCCTGGGGCGCGGCCCTCTGGGACTGGGGAGCGAATGACGCAGGGACCGACCGCGTGTCAAGGCTACTCACGTCGTGCAGCGGGTACGCGGCCGAGTACACGCCGTTGGCCAGCAGGCTGGTGATGCCTTAAAAACAGAGCAGAGCGAGGTCACGGGTCAGGCAGGTCCCCTCCCACGTCTGCGCAGCCAGAGCGGTCCCAGGGCCCACTCGGCCATGCGGAGCTTTCTCGAAGCCAAATGCACCCGGCTGCGCAGCCCGGCCGCGTCCTGGGCTCTTCCCCAGGTGGCCGCGGTGGCCGGCTGCCTGTCCACGCGGCCGTGGCCACGACATGCTCGATTGGCAGGACCAGGGAGGCAGAGGAAGCTCGTCTCAGAGGAGGAGGCGCCAGCAGCCCCCCACTCGGCTCAGGCACCCCCAGACCTGCCGCTCACCGCGCCCCCGGCGGATGGAGGGCAAGCCCGCAGACCGGAAAGGTGGCTGGACGGCTAGAGAAGCTGAATCACGGGCCACGGTGGAGCAATTGATGGTGTCGGAAACACACATACAATTTGGAGTCGGGCGGAGGCTGATTGGAAGGCGGAGGGCTCCCCACTTACCGTACTCCCCACACTTCCGCCTTTTACTTAGAAGGGCAGAGTCCTTCCTTCTTCCCTCTCCTTGCCCTGTTTGTACATCGGCTATTAGTGACACGGAAGGGCCTGGAGGAGCACAGCTGCACGGGGGAGGTGCTGGGGGAGGGGTCTGCGGGGGTCCCGTGCTGGGGGCCGGGGAGGGACAATGCTCGGGCCATGCCAGGCGCAAGGCAAACACACCACACCTGCGTGGGAAGAGGGGACTGCAGGGGGCCGCGGTGGGGAGGCTCCTGGGGACCTGATCTCACTCCGACACCAAGGACTGGCACTGCTGAGGAGCGTCCATGAAACCCTTGGCTGTCCCCGAGACCCCTGGCTGGCAGAGAGGCTCTCGAGGTGTATGTGTGTCCGAGTTTTCACAGTGGCCTGGGCGGCCACCCTCTGTGACTCCATGACACACTGGTGGGAAAGTCACTTCCTGAAATCCCCTTAGAGATGGACTGTCCCCTTGGATCCATGATCCAGAGTGGCTAATGGGCCTGAGGGACACTTAGGGACCAAACCAGAGGACAGGGAGCACATGGCTGGAGCCACAAATGTGAGTGAAAAGGTCACCGGCCACTAAAAGCCCGGCCCGGGCGCTCCTCTCCCAAGTCCTTGCTCAGATGTCCTGTCGTTGGGAAGCCCCCTGACCCCGCTGCTGCGTCTCCCCGCCCGCAGCACTACGCTCTGCTCACCTGCTTCCCCTGGGATAGAAACTGCCAGGTGGGCAGCGCAGCCCCGGGGACAGAGCCCGGCAGGGACAGGGGTCCACTGCTACTCTTGAAAGCCGAGTGGACGAGCTTGGAGGTGGGCAGAGCTCAACGTGATGCGGGATCGTGGAGAAGGCACAGGACCTGTCTGCCCCTCCCAGGGGCAGGGGACCAGCCCCCCAGGAGACTGGCGGGAATCACAGACCCTCCACCCCAGGCAACCCGAGCCGGACGCCAGCTCTGCCCAGTGGCTCTGACCCAGGCTCTTTACAGACCTTCAAGCAGCCACATGTGTTTCTGTGGGACACCATGGGGACAAGGTCCCAGACCCAGCCGGGACTGGAGCCGTGCGTCCCTCTGCCTCTGGTGCTGTGCTCAGCTTCGCTCTGGCAGCCCTGAGCTCCCAAGGTGCCCGCTTCCCACCCGCCCAGCAGGACCTGCCCCTCTGGAGACCCTGGCCACAGCAGTGGGGACAGTTTTCCGGGCTCCTCCTGACTGTGCAGGGGCTCACTGAGAGGACACGGCTTTGAGATTTTAGGCCTAGAAGCTTGTCTTTGTGAGTGACCTTGGCCATGATGGCCAGGACACAGCGGCCAGCCTGAGCCCCGAGGGGTGTCTCCCTGCTGTCCCCAGGAGCCCCCTGCTGAGCCCTGCCCCCCTTTCTGGCCCTGTTACTTCCTGTGGCACCCCTCCCTTCTTGGGATGCCTTGGTGACACTCTGCTCTTCCCAGACTGCTCTGTCCCCCGTGACCCGTGCCTGGCCCCTGCGGAGGTCTTGTGTGCTGGTGAGGTTCGGGCTACGCGGGGCTGCAGGGAGGCTGGAGGGGCACCGGGGGCCCAGGGGGTGCTGGATTAGCGACGGAGCCCGCAGGGGGCCAGGGACACGGTCGGCTTCTCAGCTGGACTTTTTGGGGTTCTGTGAACAGGTCCTTGAGGAGCCCAGTGGACTCGGGGCATCTGCACACGTGGCCTCTGGCCAGGGCAGTGCTTCATGTGCCTGGGGTGGGCTGCATCAGAGCCCCTGGGGCTGGAGGCCAGGGTCTTGGCCAACTACACCCAGCCGGGCTGCAGCTTCCAAGAACCCTGAAGAGCTGCTTGGGCCGTGGCCCCCCGTGGGCTCCCTGGCAGCTTCCTGCTGGACCGCGAGGATCAGGGAGGCCTCGGAACCTGGTCTGCTCCACCGGCTCCCCGCCCGCCCGCCCCGCGGGTCTCAACCACAGGCTCACGAGCACAGGTGGACTGGAGGGCCTCATTGTTTAAAAGTGCCGGCTGTAAATCTGCCCCCCAAGCTGCCCGGCCCTCCTGCCCAGCCCTCCTGCCCGTCTACCAGTCACAGAGGCGTAAATCAAAACCCTGTGTGACTGGGGGTGACTGGCCCCTCGGAGGCCGCCCTCCCGAGTCCCAGCGAGCGCCTACCCATGCTGTACTTGGCCTTGGTACACGTTGTCCTCTTCAGAATTTCATAGACCTGTGGCGGGGACAAGGAGGGAGGGGCAGTTACCGTAGGCTCCTTGGCCGGCAGCACCAGCTTCGCTGGAAGGAACCAGTCAGATGTCACAAGGGACAGAGCATGTCCCAGGGAAGGCGGTGGCCCTTGCTAAGGGACGTCCACCGAGCTCAGGATGCCGCAGGGTCAAAGGTCTGAGGCTCCTGGGGACCAGTGAGTGACCCTGGAGGACTCCCATCCATGGCGTCCCTTGGCCAGCCACAGCACAGCACTGGCCATGCCCAGCAGGACCCCTCCTGGTACCATAGCTGCCCCAGAGCCCTGTGTGGCAGGGTCACCATCCCTTTTGGCTGAGAGGTGAACTGGAGCAGGTCCCTCCTGGACACAGCCCCAGGTGTCCCTGAAGTCTGGGGAGGGGCCAAGGGTGGCAGGTAGGTCCTGGGATCCCAAGTCACACTGACGGGCACCAAGGCACCCAGCAGAGACCTCTATGCCCAGACAATGCAACTGACCAGTGGCCTCAAGAGCCCGGCTGGGAGTCCGCCTGCCGGATCTGAGTGCCCGCTGCCACTCGGAGCTGTGGGACATCAGGCAGCTGGCTCCCACCTGCCTGGGTCCCATGTGCAAAGTGGGGAAGGACGCAGCCGGACCCGCGGGGCACACCTGGAGCGTACTGAGGCTCCGCGCCCGCCCCTCTGCTCCCCTCCCTCAGGCAAGCCAGAGCCCCTCCAGCGGCCACCAGCCTGCACCCCCTGGCCCGGCCGCCACCTGCTCCTGTCTCCTGTCTCTGTCACCCGCTGTGCAGCGGCTCGGCCTTCCACCCTCTCTACTGCCCCTCCAGAGTCTTCACCTGTCCCACACAGGCCCACGGAGCAGCTCCCTCCCCCACTGTCCCCTCCCCCTGGACCTCCCCTTCTGCCCCGTGCTCATGTGCTCAACACCCAGCTGCAGGCACACAGCAGGTGCTCAATAAATACCTGCCAAATGAAGCAACCACTTTGCTTGGATGCTCCTAACATCCCTGTCGACAGCAGATTGACCCCATTCTCTTGTGACCACCTCCTCCCTTCTACACAGTCACGGTCCCCATTCACAGCTGTCACCATGACCCCATGTCAGCCTTTCATCTGCTCTCCCACAGTCAGCCCCTGGAAGCTCTAGAACAGTTCTGACCACACCCAAAACCCTGCTCTGCAACTCTCTTTGGCTCCCCAGTGCCTTCCAGCTGACTTTGTAAGACCCAGGATCGGCACATTGGGCCCCTCCCCATTGGGTGCTGCTCTCTGACTTCTACCTACAGGCTCGGAATGGCTGCAGGGCGGGGCCGTGAACCTCCACACCATGGCGGTCAGGGGTGCCCTGGAGCACACTGGGGTCTGTAGGGAGCAGACAGTGGCCTCCGCCCACCCAGAAGTGGATGCAGCCAGGGCCAACGTGGTGCTCACGGTAGCCATCACCCAGGGACCACAGCCTGAACTGGATCCAGCAGGTGCCAGGGAGCTGGCTTGGGGCTGTGATCTTCGCCCCTCCCTGTCAGCAAGGCCGGATCCACACATGAGCACCTGCCCTGAGCTCCCGGGAGCGCTAGGCGCCTAGAGATGGCAGAGGTCAGGGTGCAGAGACGTGCTGAAACGTGACCTGGGACTCCGCTCACCCAGGTGGCTGTTCCAATTTCCCTGTCACCGTGATGGAGAAGCGACGCTATTAGGGTTGGCAGCGTGGTGGTTCTCCCAAGCGGCTGACATCTGAGGGACGTGCTAGCCCCGAGCCCGTGGGGGCGATGCCCTCACCTCAGCCCCTTGCTGCTTATTATCACGAGATGTAATTGCAAAAATCCATCAGCAGCTCCATTAGTAATACCAACCACAGCGGTGCCTTAGTTCCCAGCGCGGTGCCCACGTGACTGTCCTGCCGGCCGCACCAGGGAGCAGGCAGAGAGCCTCACCTGGACTGACGTAGGCTCCAGGACCCGCCCGAGGGCACAGGGCTGGGGACGGGAAGAGGGTGGACAGGACCCGGGCCGCCCCAACGTGACCTGTGCCACGGTCCCGCAGTTGGCCGCCTGCCAGTCTGGGGATGACAGTGGTTATCTGCCCCAGGTCAACCAGGCAGTGTCCTCTCGGCCCTTGGCCTCTGCCTGGCCAGCAGGCTGGGCGTCTGGGCAGGGAGGAGAGAGCGGCCGTGATTTGGCTGCGAGGCTAATTTCTTGTTTAGATAGAAATTGGGGCCTGAGCCACGCACAGCCCAGCTTGGCGGGGGCACAGTTGGCGGCCGATGGATAAACAGCAGGCTGTACCTTGAGCAGAGCAGGGTGGCCTGCTCGGATTTCAAACTGGGTTTGCTTTTCTGGCAAAGGCCTGGAAATATATCCAAACGCATGAACTTGGCTCCCACTGCCCATTCCTCCTGCTCAGACAGCCGCGCCAGGGACCCACAGCTAGGCCTGGGGAACTCGGGAGTCGCCGAGAGGCCCCCCAGGTGTGGGACTGCACAGGTCCCCCTCCCTGCCCTCCTGTTGCTCTGTCCTGTCTCAGGCTCCTCCTCCTGCTGGCCATCCCCTGGGTCACTTGCTGCCCTCCCAGTTCATTATCCTAATTATTTCTGTCACAGACAATTAGAGGCGGCTCCCACCCAGAGGAGTTTCACTGAAATGAAATTATCTCTGCCGTCCCCAGGGCCACCCTGCTGGTGAGGCCATTCCACGGCGTGCTACTTACTATGGAGCTCCGGGTTTTGCTGTCGAAAAAGGAATCCTTATCAGAGAGGTCGAATCTGTTGAAAGGCAGGGAAGGAGACGGGCCGCTTGTTAGATGTGAGACTGTCACATGCCAGGCACGGTCTGTCCACCTGGGGCACCAGGGGCAGGCTCTGCCCTGGACAGGGCTCTGAGACCCATGCTAATGGGAAGTGGGCCCAGGGGCAGGAGTGGCCTGAGGCCTCCCTGAAGATGCTGCTCGCCCAAGGTGACATCCTGAGTTGGTAGCATTTAAAGTCTCTGCTTCAGCACTGGGGGACAGGGACAGTACCATCCTACTGTGAGACAGGTCCGGTTTCGAAAACAAGCAGTTGGGGTCTCAATGTCATGGATAGCACGGAGACTGTCTGAGGCTTCCCGAGAGCAGAGGGGACCTGGGAGGGACAGGGCCTCCCTCTCCATGGACTCTGAGGAGAGCTCAGCCCTGGCCAGGCAGGGAGAGGGCACCACCTCTGGTGCCCTGCTCTGGGCTGGTGGGGGAAGCGGGGCTGGGGTGGCTTCCTTCTCTCTGGGCAGCCTCCACTGGGCAGGGTGGCCCAGCGACGTACGTGTCCCAGGGCAGCAAGCCCAGTCCTGGGCGAGGCTCATGCATGGCCTGCCCCTTTGTCCACCCATGAGGCCTGAGGTGGCCTCTGCCCTGGGACGCACCTTACAAATGCCCCTGGGTCCCCAGGCCCGGGGGTTGCGCTCCTCCTCTGCCCCGGCTCCTGTGCCACCCAGCAGGCTGGGCAGAGGCCGTGCAGCCACTGCCGACCCAGGTGGCCACGCCCACTTCCCTGGGGAGCAGAGGAGGCAGGAGGTTCCAGCAGGGGCGCGGCACTGCCAGGCAACACCGCGTGGCTATGGGTCCCCAGGGCCGTGGGACGACACTGGGGACGCCTTCCGATCCCTTCCTCCCTGAGCTGCTTGGCTTATGGCTGCCCAGGCTACAGCAGGGGTGGTCACTGACCTGCCCCCCAAGGGCCCGAGCCGGGCAGGAGGAGGACGCCGGGGTCTCTGCTCTGGGGCCCAGGCAAGGGCCCAGGCGATTTTCCTAGTGCCACACCCCAGTGAGCCCCTCCCTCAGCTTCTCAGTGAGCTCAGAACCCACGGCCACGGCCACTTCTGGGCTCAACAACTCCAAGCCCCCTCAGGACGCGAGCCCTCCGAGGCCCAAGGCCCCCTTTCCTTGGGAGAGGAGCATCAGCGTCACCTGCAGGAGTCACGCTGGAGGCTGGGGTCAAAGAGCGGGTCCTGCGGGGAGGGGCCCACTTACAGGTGCTGCTTCTCCCGGGAGAAGGGGTAGGAGAGTCTCTTCATGGTCTGGGGCCTGTGCTCGGCCACCCTGGGCTGGATGGGGTCTGTGATCTTCTGCAGGACGGAGTTGATGGTCTTCAGGAGGCCGCGCGTCTCGCTCATGTGGTACATCTGCAGAGGGGGGACAGGCGTCACGCTGCGGAGCCCTGACCCGGGGCCTATCCTGGACGCCCCCAAGCTGGGGCGGTGCCTCCTGGGGACAGCACAGGGCTGGGCTCCCTTTCTGAACCAACCCTCCACGTTTCAGGAGCATCGGGCCAGGGGCTCAGTGGGGCCACACTCCAGAAAACCTCTCAAACTTGTTTTTTTGTTTCCAAGGAGGGGATCCGAGGGTCTCAGTGGAGACAAGCCGGGCCGACTCGCCACTGACCCTGCTTCAGCCCCCGGCCAGTGACGCCAGGCTCAGCCTCACTGTCCAGCTGCCCTCCAGCCACCAAGTATTCAGAGACCAAGAGGACCGGTCAGGGCAGGACATGTAATCACACTGGATTTGATAAACAGCTGAGACCCCCAGGCATTAAAGACCCCGCTCAGTCTGCTGCGTCTGAGCTTGTGACCCATCCCCACGGCGGGAGGCAGGCTTCTGTGCGCCGACCTTCAGGTGGGATGTGGTCTGGGGTCTCTGAACACCACCCAGCGCTGGGTCACGTTCTTCTCCACGATCAGGACGTGGACACCCAGGAGGCTCCGTCACCCCTGAGCCTCGCTGCCCTTCCGGGGGTGGCAATTGAGACCCTGGCTTTTCTGAACAACTCAGAGCCTCGTGGTGAAACACCCTGTGGCCAGGCGTCTGGGTGACACTCAACCCGCGGTGTATTTTGGAGGAGAAGCGTCACCACCAACCTTCTTTGTTGGCATCTTCAATTTCAGAAACTCAGCCTCTCTGCAGAGCACACTCCAGGGGGCGTGGATTTTGACGAAGCCAACCCCGTGGATTTTAGTCTAGAAAGAGAAGAAGGATCTCGGTCAGGGTGGGCCGCGCCTGCTGAGAGCCCCGTGTTCTTCTGGGGTCCTGGGACTACGGGGCAGCTCCTGCGCGGGCTGTCGGTGCCCATCACCCACTTCACCCGGACACAGCTCGAGGGCTCCCTGCAGATGGTGGCAGCACAGGGGCTAAAGGGACTCCCCCAGGTCACTGCAGAATGTTTAAGAGTCAGGAGGGCCTAGTGGGGAGCACTGGGGTCAGAGGCTCCAACCCAAAGGGAGTTTTCAGGGAAACTGAGTCGAGGGCTCCCAAAGCAGCCCAGGCCGCGGACCAGGGCACTCAGGGCCCCCTAGGTCTCTGCCCATCCTCTGGGCATCTTCCCTCCACAGCTGGGGCCACCTCCGCCTGCTCACAGCCACCTCCTGGGGTCCTTGTCTGCTCAGGCCTCTTTCTCCCGCGAGCCACCGGGTGCAGGCCCAGGTTCACGTCCCGGCCCCCACTGAAGCTCGGACAAGTCTCTTCTCCCTGGTCCTGAATAACGGTGATGAACAGGCCACAGGTGCACTGCAGCCAGGGTACACAGCAGCGGAGCCAAAGCCCGGGTGGGGGACATCCAAGAGCATGGAATCTGCAGCTGCAGAGTTAACGCCCCCAGCAAGAGCAGAGCCTGAGGGGTGTGTTCCCAGGGGCCTCACAGCTTCTGGCCTGGTGCAGAGGTCCTGAGGAGCCATGCTGCCCTGGCGACCCTGCACCAGCTTGGGGAAGGGGACCCCTCCCTGACATCAGGTCCCTCCTTTGTTTCTCTCGTCCTTCTTCTGCTGACCGCCCACCAGCAGGCATTAGTGTTGGTGATGAGACTCACTGTCACACCCCGTGGTCTCCCACACCCACCCCAGCACAGGCCTTGGTGCACCTGGACGTGGCCTGCTCTGCCCATAGGAGCTGGCCACCCACAGTAGGTACCCCACCCATGTATGGGGTGCATGAAAGAGAAGAAGGACGGGCAGTAAGCGGCCATGTATGTCCACCAGGTGCCTGCGGCCAGCCCCGCCTTGCATGTGTCATGGCGGGTGAGGTAGGCTTGTGGCTGTGCTCATGGTGCAGAAGGGAAACTGAGGCACAGAGGTACCGAGCAGGCCAGCATGTTGCATTAGTGTCCTGGGACTGCTGTGACCGAGCCAAGGGGCTCCGAGCAACAAAGACACAACTCCAGTCCCAAGGCCACAATCCAAACTTAAGGTGTGTGCAGAGCTAAGCCCTGTCCAAGGCTCCGGGGCACGTGCTTCCTGCCTCCCCAGCTTTGGGGCCTCCAGATGTTCCCTGGCTAGTGACCATGCCACTCCAACCCTGGCCTCTGCCAACTCCTGGCCGTCTGCCCTCTGTGACTCTGTGCCCCCTGGGTTCCTCCCTCCACTGGGTTTAGGGTCTCTCTCCTACTGGGCTTGGGGTGGGCCTAAGGCTTCCAGAAACGCCTCTCTACTTCCCTCTGCAAGACCTTTCTTCCAAACGAGGGCACATCTGCGTGCGCCCCGAGGACGTGCGAGCCCCTCCGCCCACCCCCAGGGGCCTGGCAGCTCCAGGCCTTGTGGAGACTTGTGCAGGAGCCTGCCTGAATGGTCAGGGCCAGTGTGCAGAAGCACAGGCCTGGGCGGGGCCTGAGCTGCTTCAAGGGCACGGAAGGACCAGGGCCCTCCAGGTGCAGGGCGGATGGCCTGGCTCAGAGGTGGGCAGGGTGGGGCACTCCTGGGGAGCCCGGAGCCCAGGGCTGGAAGGTAGCAGGCACGGGCCTGGACGCCCTCTGGGAACCATGCGTGGTTCTTGGCATGGGCTGGGAGGAGGCCTCCCAGGGCCCTCAGGGGTAGAGGCCTCAGTCCTCCAGCTGCCCTGGTTCGATTCCTGCTCTGCCCCTGTGTGGTCTCTGGCAAGTGACTTAACCTCTCTGTGCCCATTTCCTCATCTGTAAACGGAGCAATAAAAAACCCAACTGACAGAGCAAGGGGCCTCTGGTGCCCATAGCAGTCCCAACGCAGTGGCCTGACTGGCGGGAGCAGGCTGAGCTCAGGACAGCCTCTCCCTGACCACAAGGCAGCTGAGACCACGCCTGTCCTGCTGAGAAGTTCAAAGCGTTTCCCCAGCCCAGCCACAAAGGGTCTCCCGGTACTGGTGACTCATAGGCTGACATCATGGGACACCCCTGAGTCAGGGGAGAGGGCCGTCCCCAGCCACATGTGGTAGAGTCTGTCTTCTGTTACAAACCCAGATGGATTTCTGTGCACTGCTCACCGCAGGCAGAGACCCAAATTCTGCCCTCAGAGTCCACCGGGGTGTCTGTGGAGGTGACCAGGCCAGCGTCTGCTGCCACCCCTCCCCCCAGGAGAGCGTGCTCCCTGCCTGTTGAGGGGGGTCCCTCCAGGGAAACATCTGGTGAGATTTGGGAGAGGGATCCTGGGACCGAGTCAGGAAAAAACACGTTTTGAAGCGCGTACCCAGCACGGCACAGCCCCCCACGGCAGGAAGACCCAGGGACAGCCGGGCCCCTCCATCCCCAGCCCAAGACCCCAGAGGGGCAGCTTCTGTCTGGCTTGGCCCTGGCGTGGGAGTGTTTGAGGCCACAGATCCACCAGTGCGGAGAGTCAGGCCTGGGGTCGGGGGAGAGGCTCTGTGCGGGACAGCACCAGGACCTGCAGAATGTTTAAGAGTCAGGAGGGCCACAGGAGTCCCCAGCCACAGGAGGTGGGAGGCGTGGGCAGGCTGAGCAGAGCGGAGTGGACACTTCCATCCCGAGCCCAACGCACACGAGCTCTGAGCTCCCCAGAGTCGTTTGGGTCCCAGTGCCCTCCCTCAGAAGATCACAAACAAAAACGCAGAGATCCCTGTGGGAGACTTGTGGTGGCCAGGGACGCCAAGGCGCCCCTCCCCCAGCCCTCCTGCCACCTGTGGGCCTGCACGTCCATCAGGGGGCCAGTGGAGGGCTCCCACGGCTGGCTGGCCTGGCATCTGCCTGCCCTTCTGCGGGCACCGGCCTCGGGTGAGATGTGACCGGGGCAGGCTGTGCCCTGGGCTGGAGGGCGGTGTCTGGTGTTTGCTGAGCAAGGGGAGAGGGCAGGGGGCCACCTTTACAGAGCGCCCTCTGGGCCCCAGCTGGCCGCCCCGGCTCTCAGCCCTCCCCCTCCCCCAGCCCCCGCTGGTACCGAGGTCCAGGGGCTGGGAGGGCCTGCAGGGGGTGTCACACAGGAGCTCCAGTTGGGCTCCTCCTGCCCTCCACTCACGGTCCCCGAGGGCACGGCACGGCCTACAGGCCAGGGATGCCCTCAACACGGGGCTCGGGCCTACATGAGGCAGAGCCCCTGCTAACTGGACATTCCCCGTCTCAGTCATGACTGGCCATGTCCACGCTGCACAGGGAGACCTGGCAAGGCTTGGGACAGTGTCACTTCCCTCAGGGAGAAGGACTCCTTCTAACCCCTTTTGACCCCATGTCCAGTCTCAGGTCTCAGGGCTGCGGAGAGCAGTGGACGTGGTCTCAGGGGTGGACCAGGTGCGTTGCTGGTCTCCACGCAGGGACAGGCTGTGACACCTTCATCCTCAGCCCTCGACCTGGCTCTGGCCCAGGCCCGCCAGACCACAGCTGGCGCTGCAAGACAGACCTGTCAATCAAAGGCCTTCGCTGTGGGCGGGGAGGCCGGGTCAGCCCCCGGGGGAACAGGACAAGGTGCGGATGAGAAGAGCAACCAGGTACCATGGCCTCCAAGGTGCCCAAGAACCAGGAGAATGGCAGGGCTCACAGGTGACAATGTGAAGGAGCACCCAGCACCGAGTCCTCCTGGGGCAGCTACTGACGTGGTCACCTGGGCAGAGCCCAACCACGGGGGCGGGGGTCAGGAGACCTCCCCACAGGTGGGCCCTGGAGGTCACTGTCAGGTGCCCCACAAAGGAACAGCGTCCTCCCGCAACCCCAGGGGCTGAGCAGGAGGCAGGCCTGGTGTGGCTCTTGAGCTAGACAGTGGCGGTCTGTCCACCCTGTGGAACTGGCAAGGCTACCATCCGCCTGACCCTCCCAAACTCAGGCCCCTCACTCTCGTTTGTCCTGAACAGAGAGAGAAGACGGGGGCAGAAGGGGAGGGGGAGAGCCACTGAGAGGGCACGAGCCTTCAGCCACAGCCCCGGGGCCACCCTCTGGACAGGGCACCTTCATCCCAGGCCTGGGAGCCCTGCAGGGTTCCAGAGGTGGGTGACCAGCAGAGGAGCATGGGACCCAGCCTGGGGCGGGGCTGGGAGCCCCACCCATACTGCACCTGTGCCTGGGGAGTCAGGCCCCAGGTCAGCTCCCCCGACCTCGAGGAGAAGAGACGCTAAAGGACGGGAAGTGACAGACGACAGCGCGGCTTGGAGAGGAACCAAGCTGAACTCCCAGGCATAAATGGGGAGCCTGCAGGCGCCCCCGTCCCTGGTGCAGGCGCTCCCGGCCAGCTCGCCTCCCGCACAGCGGCCACGGAATTCCTGACCTAAGGGCTGCCGCCTCCCGCGGGGCATGGACACCACAGGCTCTCAGGGCTGCGGCCAGATGGCAAAGGTCCCCCAACACCACTGCGGCCCCCCGGACACCATCCACCGGGGACTTTGAAGATACAGCTGAAAAAGAAAAGTCCAGAATCCGCTGCCACAGAAACGTTTCCACGGCACCAAGTCACCAAAGGAGCCACCAGGGGCGTCACGCACAGCTCTGGCCCTAGCAGAAGACTCGGGAGACAAAGCCCGCGGTGACGGGGGTGGGAGAGGCACCACCGGGACCAGGAGAGGCCCTGAGATGCCTGCTCTTCCCACAGGGGGCTGCGCAGGGCGGCTGGGCAGGGCCGTGGAGGAGCCAGGGCCAGGGGTCAGGAGCCAGCCTTCTGGGCCAGCCCTGGACCAGGAGCTCTGTCCCCCGCACCCCAGTCCAGGTGGCATCCTGGCCTGGCCCCTTGCTCCAGGCTGGGCAGCCATGGGCCTGGGCAGCTAGCTTCCAGACCCCCAAGCCCTTTTCTCTGTCCTCAGAAGCCAGAGAGACCTGCCACTGGCCGTCAAGGACCCCAGCCCCGCCTCCTCCGTGTCCAGGGCTGTGAGGAGCGACCCGGCCCCAGGGCCAGCCCACCGAGCCCAGACCTGCCTCTAAACCTGCTGTAAGCAGCAAGGGCCCCTCCCTTTCCCGTGACCAGGGCATCCTGCCTCTGTCCTCCCCGGTCCCCTGGAGGAGGTTGGGTGGGAGCCCCCGAGCAGGGGGACCCCCTCAGGCTTGAGTCTGACCCATCTGGCAGGAAGCGGGGCCCGGCTGCTGCTCTTGCCTGCGCCCTGGGAGTGGAGAAGAGAGGCCCTTGGCCTCGCGGGAGGCAGGCAGGTAGCTACGGCCCTGCGGCCAGCCCCAGGCCCACACCAGCCCCTTACCCTGGCCTCCAGTCCAGGGGACTTGCCGCTCGGCTCCTCGTTAAAAATGGGGATTCTGAGGCCCAGAGAGGGTGCCTCTTAACTCGGGGAGCAGCTGCCTTGGACCTGAACCCGCCTCCCCAGCCCGGGGCTGTGATCTCCTGCAGCTTGGGGTGATGTCCCACAGCTTGGGGTGACAGCCGCCCCCTTCCTCCCACAGAGCCACAGCCACTAGCTTTTCAGGGGCAGCATCTCAAAGATGGGGAGCAGATGCCCCCAGTGACCGACAGCTGGCTAGCCCACCAGCCCCAGGGAAGCCCGCCCAGAGACGGCAGCAGGCCAGCGGGCACAGGGGCCTGACAGCCCCCAGAGCAAAAGACTCGGAGGGTCCATGTCCTCAACAGAATCCACCAAAGCCAGGTCAAGTCCAGCGTCAGGGCAGTTGGGCCCCGGCCACCCGCCACACTGCTGGGATTTCAGCCAGTGGCCTGCTCTGCAATGACCCTGGACATTCTTCATGTCCAAGGCTTTGAGGCTGGACTTCACAAGTGTAATGGATTTTCACTGCAAGGAAACATGGTGGCCACCAACTCCTGCTGTCCTCTAATGGGAACCCCGTTAGCTGACCCCTCAGGGAGGTGGGGGAGGGAGAGTCGGGGGGGGAGGGGGAGGGGGAGGAAAGGGGATTGGGGGAGGGGGAGGGGAGGCAGAGTGGGGGAGAGGCAGAGAACGAGGGGAGTGGGGGGATGACGAGAGAACGAGAAAGGGAGGGCAGGGGAGGGGGCGGGAGGCCCCCTCAGTCGGGCCTCCTGGCCCCCTGCCATTTCCTCCGCTGTCCCAGAGGTCCCCTACCTCTCCTTTAAGAGCCACCCTGCAGGTACGAGTGGCCAGCCCTTTCCTGCCCACCCAAGGCCCCTCCCTCTTCAAGGCATCTGGGACTTCTGTCTGGGACTTGCCACCAGCCCTCAGCGGGCTCTTGGCTCACAGGAGCAGCGGGGTCTCCGTGGAGAACTGAACAGCGCGGGGGCCTTGGAGGACGTGGGGGCCTGGTCAGAGCCGGCACTGGGACAGGCCCCAGGGCCTCTGGTGCATGCTCTGGCCCTGCAGGGAAGCCACCTGCTGCCCCAGGCCACCCGTCTCCCCTGCCCTGCTGGGGCCACGCCTCCCCCAGGCTGGCTGCCACCTCTGTGCCTGGGCCACCCCAGCCACGCCCCCCAGGGCCACTCCAGCGCGGTGCTCAGCTGGTGGGGGGTTGCACGGTATCCCCCCATAGATACCCTGACCCTGGCACCTGTGACCGTGCCCTTAATTGGAACCAGGGTCTTTGCGGATGTGGCCAAGGTCAGATAAAGTCACACTGGACTAGTGTGGCCCTGAAGAGAATGAGGAGAGCCAGCCGAGGGAGGCCCTGTGAAGACCAGGCAGGGACAGGAGAGATGGGCCACCAGCCGAGGACTGCGAGGCCACCAGGAGCTGGCACGGTGGGAAGGGCTCCCTGCAGCCGGGGGCCCCCGACGCCTGGACTTTAGACAACAGAACCCCAGAGCTGGTGGGGAGGCCTGCGCTGTTCTGTCGCCGCAAGAGACGCCTCAGCTGTTATGTGGTCCCTGAGAGCCCCCCACTGTCCCCTCAGCCAGATCACCTTCTGGAAGAATCACATGCTGAGTCGTGGGGGCCCCCAAGACACCCCTGCCTCAGGCCAGCCTCAGCGAGAAGGCGAGCCCTGTCCCTGTGACCTCTCAGCCCGCTGTATCCAGGGCCACACCTGGTCACACACAGGCACCCCACAGAGAGCCAGGCCAGGCTGCTCCTGCACCTGGAGACACCCCCTCCCCCAGGCCACTGAGCCAGGCCACCCATCTGGCCCCTCTGGGTCTTCTTTCTCCTTGCCTGAAGGTCCAGCCTTCGAAGCCAGGTTCCTTCCACTGGTGGGGGCGGGATTCTGGCCCCCAGGGACACTTGGCAACGTCTGGGGACGCTTTTGGCTCTCCCAGCCTGGGAGTGTCAGCTGGCCAGGCAGAGCCCAGGGGTGCTGCCAAATGCTGAATGCCAGCAGCCAGGGTCGAGGACTCCAGCCTGGGGTCTGAGCCTGGGGTCGTCGGGGGTTGGGAACCTGGCCCACCCTGTGGGTTTCTCTACGGAAGTGCACAGAGGCCCCGGGTCCTGATGGGGAGACCGGGCTCTCCTGGAGCCACTCTCAGTTCCAAGCCCTGGCTCCTGTCCTCTGAGCACAGCCGGGGGTGGTTCATCAGAGGTGGACACTCTACCCGGAAGCGGACCCCCTTAGCCCTCTCTGCTGACGCCGTAGGCCGCGGGCAGGGCCCGTGTCCACCCGGCCTTCTCACAGACCAGCTTCTGGGATAGCAGGCTGCGGGCCTCGGGGCCACTCACCTCCCAGGAGGCTCTGGTCCCAGCGGCCCTCGAGGGCACAGGTGACCGCTGGGAGGGGGGACCAACTTCCTTCAGCCGCCTCGAACGCTTGGTCTTGCCCCTGCCCAATCCCAATTCCACTCCTAAGGGGCCAATGGGAAAGCCTTGTCCAGCTCCAGGGCCACAGCTCCCATGAAATTCCAGGGTCATTTACTGCAGGACTAAAGTTTCTGTTGGTGTCAGTGACCAATGTCCTTCTGACTGCTTTTTACTTCACATGCAGAAGAGACAACATAAATACACTAAAAAGTAGACATCTTCACACGGATTTTAGTGGGACACGGAAAGGACCCTGTTTTCAGCCCGGCCAGCACCCCCCACCCCCGGGGCCAACTGTGCACTGAGCACCTTGCAGGGCCACCCATAGCGACCCAGCGCTGTGAAGGCCACTGCCCTTTCCGGTGACAGCGGTGGACACTGAGGCCTTGCAGTTCACCAAGGACAGGCAGAGGTCGGGGCTCTGCCAGGTCGGTGTGCAGTACCAGACCTCAGAGGCCACTGTCAAGCTGGAGAGGCAAAGTTGTCCTCAGGGAAGAATGACAGAGAGAGGAAGGCCCCCGGGAGGACAGTGTGGAGTCGGCTCTCCCCCCTCGGCCCACCTCCAGGGCCCCCTCGCTGCCTGAGAGGGAGCTAATCTGTTCCTGCTATAAAGTGACATGTGAAATAAACGCTGTGTAGTGGCGGCATTGTTCCCAAGGCCGCAGGGCGGCGGGCAGAACAGTGAGGAGGGCCAGGGGGAGCCCAGGCTCTTCTCCAGGAGAGACCCGAGGACCAGCGCTCACCTGTGCTGGCCACAGTCCTCGGCATCAGGAGGAACTCCCTGAATTTCATTAGCTCCCATCCGGCAGGAGCCAGGCAAACGGCTCAAGGCCCTCACACACCTGGACGCCTCCCGGAGAGGACCCCGCACACACCTGCAGGCAGCCGGGCCCGGGGAGGAGCGGACCCAGCGAGACCCAGTGTCCGGCAGGCTCCCTGGCCTACCACGTGGGTCCCCGGTGGACAGCCCTGGGTGGAAATGCTCTGAAGGCTTTCTGTCACCAAACCAAAAGCACTAGTCACTCGAGGACCCGCAGTTCCTGCTGAGGACACTTAACCCCAAGCCCACCTTGTTTTCAACACCCACGCTGCCTCAGCCGCTGCCCACGTTGGCCTGCGGACTCCTTCGCCCACCCTTAGCCTGGGCTTGAGACTTCTGCTCGTTTCTGATTAATCTGCACGGTGACAGCTCAGCCGGCCAGGGGCTTCCCTTCCCCCGCTCATGTCATCAAGGGCACCCGGACACAGGGAGGCACAGAGAGGTTAAGACATCCGCCGAGGAGCACACAGTGATCACCATGGAAGGCAGCACCTGCCAGGCCACCCTCTGCACGTGGCTGCGTCTGCAGCGGCCACAGCAGCCAGGCCTGGCTGTGCCAGGGTGGGGGGTATCCGGGGCACAGTGTTACCCGATCATGGATCTCACAGCAGGGCCCCACACCTGTCTCCTCAGTTGACAACCTCAGAAACCGAGGCCCAGAGAAGGGTCAAGGTCACCCAGGATAACCACGAGGACAGCTTCATCCTCTGTCCCTCTGACTGGACAACCTTCCCTGGGGGGCAGCGACGGACACAGGAAATGTCGGCCCCCGCGGGTCCCGGCTGTGCGGTCAGCGCAGGCGCAGAGCAGAGGCCGGTGGCCCGGGGCTCCCCAGCGCTGACAGACACTCTTCCTTCCCCTCCCGGGGGACGACGGTGGCACTGTCATCTGGCCCTTGCCCAGGAGAGCCCCGCCCGCGCCCCGTCCAGGAGGGTCCTTACGTCCTCGTCGCGCTCCAGCTCCAGGCCGGCCTCCAGCAGGTGGCCCTCGTACTCGTCCCTGCGGAACCGCTTGTCGTCCTCCTGGAAGTCCACGGGGGGCTCGGGCGCCGCGTCCACCGGGGCCCCCTTGCCGGGCAGCGGGTGGTCCTGCTTCCCGCGGCGAGCGCCCAGCGCCGTGTCGCTGGCCGGGGCCCTCCGGGCCAGGCCCCTGGCGCCCGCGGGCCTCTTGTGGTGGTACACCAGGATGTAGTCCACCTTGCGCCGGCCGTCCCGGAAGTACTGCCCGAACCGGCACCCGGCGTCGGGGTCCACGGACAGCGAGTTCAGCAGCTGCGGGGGGAGGAGGCGGCCGTCACCTGGCTGGCCGAGCCGGGCCCTCGGGGGCCACCCGCACACGGCCCCCACCACCCCAGGCGGGAAAGGGTCAGGAAGGGCCAGGGTCTGTCCCCAACCCGGACAGCGTCTCCTCGTCATTTCCAAAATGACAGCGCAGAGCAGCCCCACGGGGCGTTCCGCCCGTGCTGGGTGGTCCGGCCCCTAGGAGGGCCTAAGGGATTCGGGGCCCACCCCCTCGGACACAGAGAAGACCCCTGCTGAGAGCCAGGTTCTGTCCTGGGGCTGCCACACCAGGACAGGGGCGGGGTGACATTCTAGAAGGCCCGTTGGCTGCCAGCCACACCCTGCCCTCTGGTCCCTGGGGACACCACAGCTAGACGGATAAAGCTGCCGAGGGCCACCTTCTAGGAAGGACCCGGCACAGGCCAGCGAGGTCAGGCAGGGCAGCAGCCCTCAGGTAACTGCAGGCGCCATCTCAGCCTCTGACCCCCGACACCGCGCCGTCACGTCAAGGGGAGGTGCTGGCCGGCTCCGCGGAGGCTTCCCCCAGACAGACGGCAGAGCAGGCGGCAGGAGGGGCCGAGAGGACAGGCCTGCGGCGGGCAGCGGCTCGTCTGGGGCACCGCAGGGGACCCCGAGGAGCACACTCAGCGCTGCACCCAGAGGGAGAGGAAGACGCTGGGTCTCTGCTGCTCCTGGGGCGTCAAGTCCCCCACCCATGCCCAGCCCAGAGGCTGCCCTCCCGGGAGAAGCAAGGGGCATCAGGGCTGCAGAGCCCGGTCTGAAGGCCTGAGGGCGTCGGGCAGAGCGAGGAGGAAGCGCCAGGCGGGTTGAGAGCCAGCGGTCTCAGGACTGTGACGCCTGGGGCCCCTCGGGGTCTGCTGGCTGTCACAGCACAGGCCAGCTGCGCGCCGTCTGGGCTGTCAGGACCACGGGGTGAGGGCACGCAGGGCTGCAGGCAGGCCTCCCAGCACAGTGGCCAGCAGGGGGTGCTGCCCGTGCCCCCACTCAGCTGGACTCCTCAGGAAGCCTGCCCTGACCCAGTGCCCTGGAGTGCCCCTAAGCCTGTATGGGACTCGGCCGTCCCTTCCCCAGGGCACAGAGCAGCTGGAGAAGCGAGCAGACCCTCGTCCACGGTGAGCCTGCAGGCTCTGCTCCCCCCTCTGGGACCCACTGTACCCCATCCCTCCAGGCTGCCATGCTCCCCACCACAGCCCCCAGCCACCTCTGCCCCCCGTCCCACCCTGAGGTGTCCCCCATCCCATCCCAGGTCCCCGCCGCTCCAGGCAGGAGGCTGGGAAGGCCCCCCGCTGCCTCCTCCCAGAGCTCAGCCTCTGCCACGGCCTAGCAGGCGGCCCTGGCCCTGGCCCTGACTGGCCACACAGCACCTAGGAAGCCTCCCTGGGAATAAGGGGAGTCCTCAGGTACAGGCCCCTGGACCCCGGAGTGGCTCCCAGCCATGCACGACGCTGAACAGCTCTTGGCCGGGTGAAGGGCTGGGGGACCTGGCTGCAGCCGGAGGGCGGCAGGCCCAGGGCACAGGGTCCGCGCAGTCTCCAGAACCCGGCACACTGGGCCGGGTCGGGCAACAGGGAGAGGGAGGACAGACTGGGCCCGAGGACCTTGTCTGCTGGGCTGCAGGGCGCGGAGAAGGGGTCTTGGGCAGGCGGAGGCCCGGTCTGCCCAGCCTTCGGTAGGGTTGATGGCAGGACTCTCGTGCCTCCTGCCTCCTTGGGGCAGGTGGCCCCGGGCCCCCAGCATCTCAGTTTCCCTGGTCCAGGTGCTGCCTCCAGGGGAGGCCGGGCCTCACCAGCAACTGAAGCCAGCAGGAGGCTGGAACTGTCCGTCACGTCTGCTACGTAACTGAGTCCAGCCCGCCCCGGTCACCTTCAGAGGACCCAGCAACAGCATGGGACCCCTCCAGGCTGCCCCCAGTGGGTCTCCACCCTGCTCCTGTGGGGGACCCTCCCAGGTGCTCATGGCCAGGACCACACCTCTGTGGGCAGGTGGCTTTGGGGGGGGTGAAGACAGGAGATGCAGCCCCAGCCCAGGGACGGACTGTGCACCTGGGAGACCACAGTGCCTCACACCTGCCACCAGCAAGGGGCACTGGAGTTCATGCTGGGGACCGAGGCCCGGGCCAGCAGGCGAAGAGGCCCCAAGGGGAGGAGCAGGGGAGGACTGAGGTCAGCCTCAAAACCGTCCCCACCGGGCATTCCAGCCCTTGATGGAGCAGGTTTCGGGGGCACCTCCCAGCATGGGCCTGCCATCCCACCCAGTCCCCTCAAGCCACCCGGAGGGCACCATGATCAGGTCCTGCTGACCGGCAGGGAACTGAGGCTCACGCAGGAAATGCAGTCAGCCCGGCTGCCCTCCTAGTGGCCCCAGGTGCTGAAGCCCCACTGGCCAGCCAGTGCCCAGCTCTGCTGGTAAGAGAGGGGTCACCTCTGGCCCCTGCTGCTGGGGCCAGAAGGCCAGTGGCTAAGCGGGGGCAGGACCCACAGCAGGCAGGTGCAGGCCAGGGAGGCTGAGGCAACCCTGGGCTGCGGGTCCCTCTGGGCAGGCCCAGGCCCAGGCCCAAGTCCAAGGCTGGACTTGGTTCCTCTCCAGCTCCGAGGCCTGGATGAGGCGCCAGGTCCCTCTGAGCCCCAGGTCTGGCTCTGCAGGACGGGGAGGGTAGCCCAAGCTGCCTCCCCGGCCAGGAGGGACAGCTGAGCTGATGACCGCCTGGCCACCCTGCCGAGCTCAGCAGGAGCAGGTCCAAAACGTGCCGGGACAGTGCCTGGGGGCCATCCCTGTCACCTGCTCCATCCAAGGCCGAGGGCAGAGGCGCCTTCTCAACATGTCATGAAGGTCGGGGCACAGTCACCGAGCCGGCCGGGGAGGCGCTGTCCCCTCCTCCCTGTGCAGTGGGCACCAGGCCACCCCGATGCCAGGCCCTGCAAGATGTGGGCACGGTGCATGGGAAGGGGTGCACCCAGCGGGGCAAGAGGGCAGTGTGGACGCTGAGGGCACCCGCTGCGGCCCCCGGGGCTCGGCTGGGGTCTGGCCTGCGCTTCCTGTCCCCCCGCCCACCTCTCCTTCTTCCCACCCTTCCCAGGCCCTGTGCTGGCCCCACGTGTACCCGCCTCGTGCCCCCTCCCTCTCAGCCCTGAGCTAGGGCCCCTGTGGGGCCTCCTGTGTCCGGGACCCAGGGAGGACCAATGCAGGCCTTCTGTGCCGGGGCCACCTCGGAACCACCAGCTGCACGTTCTCGACCCACAGAGGCCCCTGAGCCCTGCCCTGACACACCTGCACCCAGAACCCAGCTACCAATCAGCTCGGTGCCTACGGGGCCCAGGGGACGCTCCTGGTCAGCAGAGGTGGTGGCGGACACTGAACTAGTCAGCAAGCAGCCCTCAGGGAAAGGGGGAAGAGCAGACAGCCACCGAAGCAGAGCAGGGACAGTCCCAGGAGCCGCCAGGACCCCTGGCTCAGTATAGACAGCACCACCTGTCCACGGGGGCCTCAGGGAGGAGCACGCTGCCCACCGCAGGGGCCTGACCGTCTCGGGGAACTTCCCAGCCTGGGGAGGGAGAGGGAGCCAGAGGCCTGACCAAGGATGACATCACCCTGCCTGTGCTCAAAGACCAGCTTTGTCACGAGCTGTGCTGCCCCAGACACGGGGCTCAACCTCTTTGTGCTTCCACATTCCTAAGACCTCCCACATTTGATAGGACCCCCCCCCAAAGGGGTGTTGGGAGGATTCCATGTCTTACTTTTCATTTTAGAATTTACAATAGGCCCTGCAGCGAGTGAACCCTCAACAGAAGTTTGGTCTCACTGGGAACTGAGTCACATGCCCAAATAACGAACCAGGGGGGGACAGGTGAAAATAATCTCATGGTCAGAGTGGACCACAGGTGAAAGGTGGAGCAGTGAGTAAGCCCTGTTGGGGAACCCCGGGGCTGGACCTCGTCCTTGATTTGCTATGTGGTCCTGGGTAGGTTGCTTTGTCTGTTTAGGTCTTTAGTTTTATAAAACAGGAAAAAGCCTACTTCAGTGAGGGTTAGTGGACGGCCCCTGGGGCAACTCTAGGCTGGCTCGGGGAGCCGGGGAGCCAGGCACAGGCAGGTCCAGGGAAGCTGCCCAGCGCCGTGTGGAGACCAGGACAAGGAGGCAGAGATAGACTGCAGTGAGAGGAACAGGGGTCTAAGCTTGGGAGAGGCTCCGAACCTCTGGTCCCTGCCCCTAGGAACAGGCAGGTGCCCTTGGGACACCTCTTGGGGACTTCCTCACGGTTGGGACTGAAGACGAGGTTGTGGAATGCAGGATGCAGGGAGCCTGACCAACTGCAGGCGCTGGGTCTGGGACCCGTTTACTGGCTGTGGCCAGCAGATGCCAGGCTGCGGCGCTGACACCCGGCCGGCGGGGCCTAAACAGGATGCCCCCCACCAGGAGCCTCAGTTCTGATCTGTGGGATGGGCTAAAAACGTCTCCTGACCAGGTCCCAGGATGCTTGTGGGGCCTGAGGACATCCCAAGGTCAGTGCTGGGTACTTGGGGGCGGGCAGTGCTCCTGAGAGCAGAGCTCCCCAGAAAAGACAGGAAAACAGCGGAGGAGGAGAAGAGCTCCGCCAGGTCCCAGGGGAGAATGTCAGAGGACAAAGGTCCCCTCACAGCAGGCACATCCTGACAGCCCTGTCCCAGGCAGCACCAACAGGCAGAAAGGGTGGCCCGCGGCTGGCCCACCTAGCCCACCCCGGCCACTCCCAGACAGCCCAGACGGTGGTGAAAGGGCAGACCAGGGAGCCCTGTCTGCAGCTCGACCCCCGCAGAGTCCTCACGTTCAACTCTCCCTGCCGCTGGGCCCCGGAGCTGAGCTCACGCAGCTGGGAAAGGACGGCCATTCTGAGGGAGTCCACTGCGTTCTCTGTCTTGGAAAACGAGAGCAACGAAACCAGAGACCCGCAGTCGGCTTTTGGTTTTGAGGGTCTTGGAATTTCAGCCTGGAGTGGAACATGGATTTCAACTCCACTTTGATTTCAAGGAAGCTGTTTAGATGAGGTCATCAGCACTGCATACGGACTTACTCCTCTGGGCACACTTGGTATCAGGCCACCCCCGGTGGCAGAGAAGCAGTAAGTGCTCTCATCTCAGCAGGTGGGCAGATACCTGGGAGGCAGGTGTCTCCGGGTGTCTGGCTCACTGGAGCACAGATCTCAGGCTGCTGGTGGCCATCAGTTGGAAGGTGAAGACATTCAAGGATTAATGTAAAGCACACTTAATGACATCGCTGCTTCCACCTGCCTCGGGCTTAGGGCTATTCCTTCTTACTCCTGCCTCTGTGCAGACAGCGGGCTTTCCACCCTTGAACTTGGGGAGGAAGGCAGACACACAGTGTCTGGGAAACCTCAGCCTGGAGGGGAGGGACTTATTCTGTGGCCTACGTGGACACATTTGGGATGCACATGGGGGACAGGACAGGAACCGTGGGAATGCAGCCCACGCCCACTGATGGGTGCATGTACAGAGCCCCCTTTGCTGAGCAGCTCTGGGTAGCGACTGAGCGGCACTGGCTAGACGGAGCTGTGCTGGGCACCCCGGAGGCTTTTCCTATCATCAGCCTGCCCTGCACCAACAACTCCCTGGCCCCAGAGCTGCTGCCCGTCCACAGTCCTCCAAGCCCAGTGAAGACAATAAGTGCAAGAAAGGCTCGCTGGCCTGGCCCGAGCCCACCCTCGTGTTTCTGGACTGTGAATCCTGAGCACAGGGCTGAGCGGCCCCTCCGTGGACGTGGGGAACCTCACCTGGTCCAGGAGACAGATGTTGGCTGGGTGTGGATAAGCAACAGGTCCCTGAGCTGAACCGCCAGCGCCAGGGGCCACTCCCCCAGGCTCCACTTCTCAGCCACACCAAGTCCCCATCAAGCCGTGTGGGTCCACACTCCCAACACCTTGGTCTGTTCATCATCCTGCGCGGGCTGCCTGGAGTCCCCACCGGGATGTCCGCGCCCTGCCAGCCCTCCTGTGCCACCTGCCTGTCTCTGAGGCCCTCCCTAGCTGCCCGCCCACCTGGTGAGTGAGTAGGTCATCGGCCCCTCTGGGCCTCAGTGTCCTGGTATGGTAACAGCACCTACCCCACACATTTGTTGTGAGTTAAACAAGCCAAGACACAGCGCTGGCCCAGCACTACAGAATTGTCCTTTGTCACCGTCCTGGGAAATGGGTAACATTCCATCTGTACTCCTCAGGCTCCGGAAGGGCTGAACCCCCCCCATCTCACTCTCTGTGGTGCCCAGGGGCCTGTGCAGCCCACACAGCTCTGTTCAAAGGTGACCCCAGCTTCTAAGGCGAGCCTGGTCTCCACCAGCACTCCTGGGCTGGGCGCTCCCTGCTGCTGTCTGCAAGCCCAGGTCAGGAGGAGCCCCCATTCCTCCCTCACCTGGTGCCCAGGGTTGGGTCTCGCACAGTGCCAGGTCTGACCAAAGCCCAGGTCTGGCCTTCCCGGGAAGACTGCGACTCCTGGCATTGCGCATGCCCCGCCCTGCACCTCGCACAGGGCCCTGCCCAAGCTCTCCAGCCCCCGGGCTAGAGGGACAGGCCAGGACAACCCCCATCTCCGGCAGCGGCTAGGTCCTGGGCAAAGTCTGGGAGGAGCCTTGAAGGGGGCTGCAGAGCGCGGGAGGGGAGGGGGATTCTGCTCTTAAGTCCCAGCGAGCTGCCGCGAGCGCCCCCGCCCCCACCCCGGCGGTCACAGCCCTCTCCTGGCAAACTTTGTCCTTTAAGTCAAACTCCTTTTGGGCGAATTCTGCCCCCAGGGGATCCCTGTGAACTGCTGGGTCCAACCCTGGGGAGTGTAATGGGGCTAGAGAGGAGCTCGGCAAAGGGGTCCCCAAACACGTGACCTGCTTCTCGCCAGCGCCCGGCCTCTTCCCTCCGCCGGGACCGGCTCACAGAAAACAATTTCGTGCCCGCCGGCTGCCGTGGGCATTGAGAGTTCCCGTGCGGGGCTCAGCGCCCTGGGCAGGACGCGTCCTGGCAGGTGGGGCCGCCGGTGGGGCCTGGCGGCTGCCAACCCGACCTCCGCCCTTGTCCCCTAACGCCACCCCCGCTGCCCCCAACGGCACCCTGGCCCAGGCCTGGAGGGGAGGGTCCCAGCACCTGCCCGGGGCCATGCGCTCCGGGCTGCGAGCGGGGACGCGGCCCCCGGGCGCTGGGTTTCGGGGGTGGGCGCCGCGCCCCTCACGGGCGCAGGGGGCCGGGCCGCGGCGCTTTCCGGCCGGCGCACGTGCGCAGGTGGGCGCCCCCCGCGCGGCACCGAGAGGGCGCCCGGGAGCCACGCAAGGCCCCGCCGCCGCCCGACCGCCGCCCTGGGCGCGCGGCGCAGGTGCGCGGCCCGCCCCGCCCGGTCGCGGCCGCCCGCACTCACCGTGCCCTCGGACGGCAGGTAGCCGATGTCTTCGATGGCGCAGATGTTGATGATGTGGACGCTGCGGTCCTCGGCCGGGAGCGTCGAGTACTTCTCGTTGACCCTCATCGTGGCCGCCTGTTCGCTGGGACCGCCGGGCGGCGCGCCCTCCCCATCCACGGCCCCGGCGGCCTCTGCAAGCGGAGACGGCAGCGTTCGCGGCGCTCGCAGGGGACCGGCCTTCCCGCGCTCCGGCCGCAGGGGACGTGGCCGCCTCCCGCTCCGCCCGCCGCCCTCGCCCGCCCGCCCGGGCCGCGCACCGTGCGGGGCGCGCCCGACCGTCCCCCGGGCCGACCGCGCCGCCACCTGGCTGCTGGGGCCGAGGCCGCCCGCGCCTGGTCGGGAACTTGGACGCCCGCCTGACTCCTTTCCTTAAAGATACAAGCGCACTCCGCCCGCTCAGGGCAGGGGCGGCGGCCACGCGGGTCAGATTTTCCGTAGAAATTTAAACACAGGAAGAAGGTATTCCATTCCTGCGGGCCCCTCCAAGTTTTATTTTTATCCGGGGTAAGTGCCCCTTTGGATTTTCTTTTCTTTTTTCTTTTTTTGAGGGTGGAAAGGGTTTTCAGACCAGCGGGAAACTTCTGTAGCCCTACCTTAAATGCAAGTCCCTGCGCGGGCCAGCTGCAAACGCTGGGCCGGGGGACAGTTCTGACACTGAAGCCAGGAACACCTCCTGCCCCTTGCTCTCCACCCCTGGCAAAGGCCTGCCTGCCGGCTGTGGCTTTCACCTCCCCACACACCATCCTCTCTGCCCCAGTGGTACCTGGGACCCCTGTCCCCTGTCCCCTGCAGAACCCCTGCCCCCTGTCCCCTGCAGTACCTGGGACCCCTGTCCCCTGCAGAACCCCTGCCCCCTGTCCCCGGCAGTACCTGGGACCCCTGCCCCCTGTCCCCTGTCTCCTGCAGTACC